TGTGACCCAGTTTCACAGCTTTTCATCCCGCTTACAAGTATTCCTCTGTGTGTGTGTGTGTGTGTGTGTGTGTGTGTGTGTGTGTGTGTGTGTGTGTGTGTGCAGCTGAATCTAACAGGCAGTATTTTAGACGTTTATTTTCACCTGCTGAATAATAAGTGAGAGAAAATGAGGCCGAGCTGTTTCACTGAATCAAGGCTGTTCTTTCCTGCGCTGTTTGTTTCAGTGTGAAACTGATAACATCACTGACACCATCATCACTGGGGCTGGGCCACATCATACCGTTCACGGTAACACCGGTATAATGTTGGGCAACGATAAGAAAATGAAATATGGTGATAGAAAGTGGGTAAAACACGCATGTGCTGTGCCTTTGTTTTTATACGCACATGGCGGAAAAAGCATGACGCAGAATGAGGAGAGCGAAAGCGGATCGTTGAATGAAACGGTTGACCTTGACTTGTTTTTTAAAATGCTGCAGCTTCACTGGTGTGGAACTGGTTTAGCTTTCGTCCGTCAGACACACAACAAAGCACTATTTTTGGTAGCGCATGCTAGCGGGCCGTCGTTATTACCGTGTTGTTTGGAAAATACGGCGCACTTAAAATCATCCTTTGATTTGTCTGAAAGTTGACAGAGCCCCTTATAACCCCGTGTGCCTTATGTATGAACTCTGGTTGTGTTACTGACCTCGAAACGATTTTATGTGCACGGCGCTCGAAAATCTTTCAGATGTTTCAGTACGACTTTGCTAAGCTACGAAGCCGCAGCGCTTGATGGATTGTCGGAGCGTTACGGCTGTCGTAGGCGGAGCCTCGCGTAGTGATACGTACTGTGCTTCAACATAATGTTACCGTATTGTGTGTGTTTAACCTCTTTAAGTTTTGTGGATGTTATACATGGTTATGCTGAGGATGTGTCGGCCAGTTTCCACTGAAACGCCTTTTGGTTAAACTGTCAGCGAGGAGTTTGCACTGTTACATGTTTATATAACTTTAATGCAGATAAAAAACAGCTGCTTGTTTAAGTGAAAATACATTGATGGGTTTTGCACGAATAAAGTTGTGGAGTTTTGTCTCGCGTCAGTTATATCGTTATTGCACATTTTCAAATGTATATCGTGACAAATATTTTTGACCATATTGCCCTGCCCTAATCATCATCACTGATCACTGTAATACTGCACAGTTCAAGGCAACAAGAGTGAAGAGAAGTGCGTCCATCCCACCTGCTGTTAGTAACAAAGCTCATTATTAGGACTCGGCTCAGTGTGTGCAGCTACAGCAACTGTGTGAAATGTGCAGACGTGTGTAGCAGGAGACATTCGGCCGAAACAGGGATGTAAAATCAGCCCCGGCTGTGAGTCGTTGCTCTGCTTTCAGGCTGCTGCTGAAGGCCGGCATGGACATCAACAAGACCACCAAGTCTGGAACAGCTCTGCACGAAGCGGCGCTGTACGGGAAAACTGAAGTGGTCCGACTGCTGCTGGACGTGAGTTTATTTCCTGCATCGTGTGTGTGTGTTTGTGCATGTGTGTGTGATCTGCAGTATCTGTTTAAAACATTCGGTTGATGTCTAATGAAATTCAGATTGAGATTTGATGGATGATTAATGGATGCGATGCTGTGAGTGAAGAGCGGGTCCTGCAGCGATATCACTGAAACAGCTTCGTGTTGTGTTGTTGTCGGTGCAGGCCGGAGTGGACGTGAACATCCGAAACACCTACAACCAGACGGCGCTGGACATCGTCAACCAGTTCACCACCTCGCACGCCAGCAGGGACATCAAACAGCTGCTACGAGGTCCAATCAAACCCAGCTCGGCTTCCTCCTCGCTCCCCCACCACGTCTGCTCTGCCTCAGCTGCAAATGCGCTTCTTAAACACGAGATCTGTGACACAAAGCGTTGCTCTGCCGTGCATCCACCTGACCACCTGATCACAGCGGCCGCGTATAAATCTGCAGTTACATAACGTTAAACTCTTATCTGTCGTTGTCATGGCTTCAAAGAGCAGATCCAGCATCAAAGTTAGCGGCGCTGCACATGCGGCGCGTGAGCGCGCTCCGTACTCCTGCAGCGTTTGAAGCTCCTGTGGGAACAGACTGAGGGAATAATGAGCGGTTGTGTTGAAGCAGTGATTGAAACTCGGACGGAGACTTTCCCGCCTCGTTTACTGCTGCCGAGCGGAGATGAATAATTGGTCCGCGCTCGGCCGGCACGCGCCGCAGATGAATTATTGATGTGAGCTGTTAGCGCCTGCGTCAGCAGCCGCTCGTGTGTGGTGCAGAGTCGGGCTGACAGTCGAATGTGTTTCAGCTTCTATAGAAAACGTTTGCTTGTTATTCTCTGCGTGCGCTGTCATTAAAATTTCAGGCCTGCTGTTATTAGACGCTTATTCCTGACACTCCGTTTATTTCACTGAACTCAAACTAAGACTCGGCAACATTTTAGCCGAAGAAGGTACGGCGTCGGCTAACATCACGTGAGATGTGTTGGTTCCTTCTCAGTTCACCGTGTTTGTCGCCACAGTCGCTGCAGAAGCATCCGTGTTCTTGTTGCGTCTCACAGTCCAAACACACGCTACCTAATAAAACTCTGAGCGTTTCACGGCCAAACAAAAGTAAAATGAATTTCACCGAAGACTAAAGGCTGAACAGAAAACAGCTCAGAGATACAAAAGAACGATGCTGCTTATTCACTCACACTTCCTGTGCAACAGCGAGTGATAAATAATACTTACACAATAAGCTAATGAGTCACTTCCACGTTTGTAATCAGGAGAAAATGAATCAGCGTTTGTGTGTGACGGTGTTCGGGATAACTATCGAGCTCATAAAAAGATGCTTACAGCAAACTGCACACCTCGACTGAAGCTAGCAGCGCAGCTGAAGGCGTTTTAGCGCTGACATTAGCCGTAACGAACTCAGCTAAAATAAGCTCATTTTGCATACGTTTGTTTTTGTAAATAAGATTTTTAGCTTTTAATAATTAGTGCCTTAAAGTTCTGCTCATACATATTTGGAAGCTGTTAATTAGCTGTGAAATAACACAAGTCGTAACTTTAAAAACTAAAAATGAACCTGTTGTTTTTGTTCTCACCTACTTCCTGTTTGTGTTTCTTCAGATGCGACGGGCGTTTTGCAGGTCAGAGCTCTGAAGGACTACTGGAACCTCCACGATCCCACCGCCCTCAACGTCCGGGCCGGAGACCTGATCACGGTGAGGCGCCCGGGCTTTGACCTGCCAGCTGAGGGGATGCAGATGGAGCCACGGAAAATTACAGCTCATTAAACAAAACACATTTATCTGTGTGTGAGATGTGACGAGTGTTAGGCCCACGTTTAGTTTTTTTAATGCAGCATGAAATCACAAACGCGCCTCAGAGGCAGGCGGAGACAAGTCCGCACTTCCTGTATGAAGGTGGCGTGTGTCACACCGAGTTCAGTCAGGATGATTTCATATGAACTAACCACAGATCTGAGCCACTTCCTGTGAGTGAGTCACGCAGGTGAGCAAAGCCGAAGGTGTCGAGGTGATGCGGGTACGAGGCCTCGTGTTGAGACCTGCGTTCAGTGTTAAACCTGACGGAGGCCGGCGGGGGAGGCGCAGCGCTCCCGTTCTTGTGTAAACAGCAGGAGAACCCAGACTCTTCTGTGTGAAGTAGTAAAACAGCATTTACAGTCAAAGCTCTGCTGGTGACGCACTTCATAGTTATTCCAAACTAATACGTCTTAATCAAGCCTTTGATGAGCTGCTGCCTCGAAACGCTAACCCGAACATTTGACGTGTAGCTCGTTCTCACTGAAACCATCCTCGAGTGATGCTGTGATCTGAGGTTAAGGCTGAGGTCCTTTGCAGGTGTTGGAGCAGCACGTGGACGGACGCTGGAAAGGCCACATCCACGACAGCCAGAGAGGCGTGGACAGAGTGGGCTTCTTCCCCCCGACCATCGTGGAGGTCATCAGCAGGAGGAACGGTCAGTCGGTGCGAGGTCGCTGCTTTAGAAATGTTCTCGCAGGCGTCGGCTGAGGGGTCAGGTGTACCCACCTGTCTGTTAGTCGCAGCATCAGATGCGTCTCTCTGTCACACACAGAGGCCCAGAATCAGATAAATAAGGATTGTTTTGAGCTGGGAATCATGCAAAGCCCCCCCTCAGTGTGAGTAGAACGAGTCTTCACTTCCTGTAGGAGTCGATCGATTTAAAACCCCGCCCCCTCCCCCCCTCCACCTGAGACAGAAACTAATCCGCTTGCTTGCAGACCATCCCATGCTCCTCGCTCCGCCTTCCAGCATCCATCTCTCCATCCACACCACATAATCACTCACCTCCACCTCTAACCATCAGCTTGATAACCTCCCCCTCCTCCCTCCCCCGTCTCGCCTGTAGGGGGCACCCTCTCCCGGCACGCCTCTCTGCCCACCCAGCGCCAGCAGTTGCTGTCCAGAGCCCCCCTCTCCTCCAGCCTCAGCTCCGCCCCTCAGACCGACGACTCCTACGCTCTGTATGCGCCCCCCACCCACGTGGTGCTGCCGCTGCCCAACGGCCTCACGACCAGCGCAGGTACACACACACACACTCACACTGTCGTGCTGTCGCTGTGCTGATTGGTCAGTTTGTTGCTCCATTGTTTCAGATCTGTTACTGCTGTTCTCATGTTCATGGATCATTTTAAAACCACGCCTTCTTCTCTCACACACACCACAGTAACGTCACACTGCAGAGCGTGTGTGCTGATGTTAGCCGTGTTACATGCTCCGCCTCCTCCACACAGGCTGCGTCTTTGGCAAAACTTTAGAAAAAGAACGTGATGCTAATGATCCACAGCTAACACTGCAGCCACACGCACAGATCACAAAGGTGTGTGTGTGTGTGTGTGTGTGTGTGTGTGTG